CCATCTACAGCTCTAGTGAGCTTTAGATTACGGTGCATATATTGCAGTGTACTTATTTACTGGGTATCAATAAAACACCTACTGGTAAATTTGGGGTAACGGTGTTGATAATGCAATAAAACAGGGTTGGGGTTGAAAAGTTAAAAAAAATGTAAATCCCAGAAAATGGAAGCATCCAGATGATAACATTAACGCGAAGTTAAGGACTTCAAAGCTTTGTTTTCTTCTTAAATGCTAGCTAACCAAAGTATATCACCTGCGCGGTTAGCTGACCTCACGGAAGGATTCAATGAAAGAATAGCCACTGAAATGAATATGTACAGTTGTTGGTGCTGTATTTATTGCTGCACTGTCCAGTTTGAACTATAATCTTACAATAATACTGCAGTTAGCACAGAGAGACCGGAACGTAATAGTACAAGAATCTGCACAATGTAATACAATCCAAGTGGAACTGCATAAAAACATTACATTACTCATTAAAATACAGTTGTTAAAGTTGATTTAAGAATGATTTTTTAAATTGAATGTTAAGGCCTCTGGTGTTTTCAGTTGTTAGACCTCTGCTCAGGTTGATGGTGGTCCGGAGCTTTGATAGGAATTTATAACTCACAAATCTTTATCGACCAATAAGAATTATAAAGGTGTAATTTGTCCCACCCCAATAGGTTCAACAAAGCTAACTGGAGAATCAAGAGGCTGTCAGTCAATTGGCCCCGTGGCTAAACCCCGCCCACCACTGCTACTCCGTCAAATTGGTCAGAGCTACGTTTCCATGTAGCCCACACTGCCACTAACTGCACTTCCTGAAGAATCATTCTGACATTTTTGGAAATAAATAGCCAAGAGTCCTAGAGACAAGCAAACAGAAGGGTCTACAATATTTGTATTAAGGATATATCCAGGATGTCAAACTGACTCAGCAGTGAAAACAGGCTAAAAAGATGAAAGCTAAAGCTACAGATCACAGTGTAACAGTGAACCACCACATCACCTGGAGATCAAGACTGACGACAATGAAATTAAGGAACAACACTGTTCCTGTAAATGTGTAGGTCTTTAGTGACTGTTACTATCATAAAAATACATTCAGTCAACCTTCAGTAGTTAGCGTAGCATAGAAGCGCTACCGCTAGTTAATGATGTGCTAACGTACTCTGCTAATGTTAGCTCATCAGGTTTTTACGTGACGCTAGAAAACTAGTATCATTATTACACAACGTTCCACCATGACAATGGCTCCAAATCCACAAAACAAAGCTGGTCAATGCTACGCTATGATTGGCCAGTCTGCGTTTGAGTCTAAGCATGCTCACACAGTCCTGACAAGTTGTCTGATCAGTCAGATTAACTGAAAACACCACCTGTGTGGGTGTTCAGAGGCTTGAAGATAAACTAATGAGTGTGGCCGTGAGTCTGTCAATCACAAGTCTTAGAAGCATCAATTTAAGAAATCAAAGATATCTTGTCTTAGATACTCAGTGCTCAGATGTTGGAGCCTGGCACCAGCACATGAAAGCACCTTGTGACAACAAGTGTTCTAGTGCTAAGTTTCTATTTTTGTTCCAGCCCATCTTATGGAAACCCACCTAATATATGTATATTACTGTGACGTATCAAAAGTTTAAGTAACCTATGTTCTGTTGAGTGTGCAACTGTTGCTAACATGTCAAAGGCGGCATTTCACATTACTCATCTGTCTGTCAAGCCTCTTTCATTCATGTGTTATTTATTTTTCTTCCTCTCTCTCACCTCCCTTCTCCTCCTCCTAGTCCTTCATCTCTTTAATCTCATCTTTCATTTTCGTAAAGTATGATGAGGCAGCAGCGAGGCTTGGCCCTTTTGTGCCCCAACTGTCACAAAGCCCCTTGTTTCTTTTCTCTCTCCCAATCCGTTCCTCCTTTCCTTTTCCACTCAGTCTACTCTTTAAGACATCCACTCCATATTTTCTGTTCAATTCCTCCCACATTTCACGGTTCAGTGAATTCTTCTTTGACCGCAGTCAGTTTCCGGCTCAGGACTTGAAATTAATTTGAGTTTAAATGGGAGGGAAACGAAAGAAAAGGGGGAAAAAAACACAACCTTTACAAGCTTTGACCTTGAATACATCGTAGAAAATGTGATGGAACGGATGCAGACATTTCTGTTCTTGTGTGTGAGTCATTCCTCTGATTTGGAACATTAGTAATATTGAATATTGCATACCAAAACAACATGGCCTAATAAGATTAAATGCAGTTATACATTTAAAAAAATCACACCAACTGCTACTTTTGAAAGGATTCCAGCTTTAACACTTCCCTCTATTACATCACTCGTTTTATTAGATTGTATCCTGCTCAATAAAGCCACTTGATTTGATTAAAACCATATTCTTTCCTTTGTTTTTCATTAAACCTCCAATAGAGGTGAAACTCTGAATCACTTCAGAGACCTTATTTGTTTCCTTTATGTATCATTAAAACTACCTGGAGTTTTTGTACATGGAGGTTTTGTAAGCCGGTCCTGTTTTGTTTTGTATTTCGTACACAAGCACGTCCACGAGCATGCAGGCAACACATTCCTGCTTCCTTAATGCAATAGGCCCTTTTACAGCAGACATTTCACCTTGCTCTAGTGCTGTGTTAACACCAAACTCAAAGCCTCCAGCGAGTGACGCAAATAAACGCAAACGACGCCGCGGTGAAATTCACTCCAGAGAGAAGGAGGGGCTTACCTCCATGTAGATATGGAGAACAGACGGTTTAGAGCATTTCTTTCCATCATGTATCATGGGTGAAATAACCACTATTGCTGCTTTGCACATGTTGTGGAAGTCCCAGATACATCGGAAAAAAACAAACAACGAACGCCGTCGTGCAACTGGCCTCGGTACCTGGCGTGCTATGCTAGAGTTCACATTGATCGACACATAAACTGGTTGTTATGATTAGAAACCGTGTCTAATGAAATGATATTCACTCTGGTTGCTTTATTGTTTGGAAAGTCTCATACATGTCATTGACAAAAAAAAAGAAAGCACCGAGTTAACGTTAACTGGTAGCTCACATATTATGTGAACCATTCAGACTGTTTCAATAGAATTGCAACAGCTTGGGTCCATGATTACTTCCTGTCAACTAAAGTCAACAGGAAACAAACTGGGACACAATTAGAATGTGTAGGTTTACAACTGTGAATGGTCTACAGCAGAGGTCTTCAACAGGGGGTCCGTGACCCCTAGGGGGTCTTCGGAGGTACTGCAGGGGGGTCGTGACATTTTTGGTTGATTAGACAATTTTTCATATGTTTTTCCCCCAATTTTTTTTTCACAGATTTAAATGTCTTTAAATACACATTAATCCAACATATTGTAGTGAATGGATAAATGGGAGGCAGAAGATGTTATCTTTCAGTCAGAAATGCACACATTCAGCGACACACAGGAGCTCTCTCAAGCTGGGCACCGGTTCACTCACAGTGTGAGACTAGCCTGGACCTGTCCCACCAAGCCTCCTGCACACAAAGAGGAGGACCCGCCCCTATCGCTGCTGTGCCAATCATGAGGCCGCATCTTACATGCTGGCTCTGTCAGGTTCCCCGTGATTGACAGAGAGCCTATTCAGTCCCCAGCTGACTAAGATCCCAAACACAAGGACGCTGCAATATTATTTGAAAAGAAGATACCGTTGTAAAAAAATAATAAAAAAAAAAATTTAAAAACAACGACATGTACTTCACCCACGAATCCTTGTGCAATCATTTTTGCAAGATATTCCTGACATTCCACTGCAGCTCTTATCCACAACAGCCAACTACTGAGGCCAGTATATTATTATGCCAAGTATATATGGACATTGTTATGAGCGAAAATGGATCGTTTTGTAACTCGACCAAAAAACATGAATCTGTCCATTATTTTAATAGTTCAGTATTGTATGCAAGATAACAGGTATGTTTATGCATGGCAGGGGCACTAATAGGCCATCACTCATTTTTCACCACATTCTAAGTTAAGAATTTAAGCCAGTTCAGTTAGCACCTTTGGCAATTTAACAGGCTAACACTAAGGCTAGCTAATGTTACATTATATTCCGATGGGACCTAAGATAAAATATTTACTGCACAGACGACTGCTTTCGGCCAGTGGCACCTCTGCCCTCTTAATTGCTGCAAACAATTTCTGATGTCCGTTTACTTATTTAGGTATCAAATATGAAATATTTGGCTCTCCTTTTTTGTTGTCACATCCCCCTGCACAGCATAAAAAAGGCATGTTCAAGCCTGACAGTGGGCTTTTACCCGGAACCCAATATGGCGGTGGCAAACAGTAAACAAACGCCAGCTGCACAGCTATCTAATCTACATTACAGGGTTGCTTTAAAATTCATTACTTAAATACGTAAATATCCTATTTCTTACACCAACTCAGCACACCCTCTGTCTCAGTTGTTGGTTTGATATGCTGGACTGGAAAGATTTGAATCTGTACGCGGGGTGCTCCTGTTACCACCTCTGAGGTGCCCTTAAGCAAGGCACTATACCTCCATCTGCTCCAGTGGAGCTCCTCAGTGGCCAAATTCGATTGTTGTCATGGTTGGCTGCCAGCATTTGTGCTCAGACCAATTACCCTGGTAGCCATTTAAACACACACTGAAATCTCTTTGAATCCACGTTGTGAGAGGTAACAGGCCTGATATGTGTTTGGAAGGGTGTGTCCAAAATATGCTTAAGATCGACAGGATTTATGTGAGGTGAGTTGGGCTTTTACTTTTTTTAGTTAAATGTGAATGTTAAAAACAAGTTAGGAAATTGAACAGGACTCAACTTCGCCATTTTCAGAAAAGTAAATGCAGGTATGCAAATTGGAAATATGACAATCTGCATGCTGGGCTGTCACCTATCTCAATAACAGCTTGTAGCTATGAATCTGCTTGGCAATTGTATTATTCATGACATGCCACAATTACCTGCTTTCTCAGTCTTTCTCTCTGTCTTTCTCTCTCTACTCTCGCCCTCAGTGGGATTCCAGGGAAGAAGTGTGGAGTCATTATCTTTGCTGCAGAGGAGCTCAGTAACTGCAGGGTCAGTGCACACACACACACTGTCTCGAACATGCACACAACACAGTGTTGTTGGAACATTTTCATATAGTCTGCATGTTTTATTTGCCCTGATACTGTTGTTATATGGCTTGCAATCCCCCCTACAAACACACCCACACACCAATACACAGAAAGGGTTTCATAATGGGCCAATCTTTCAATGATAAATCATGAAATGTAACAAAAAAATGTCCCATCATTGGGACCCCAACTTCAAGTTCAGCTTTTCAGGCTTGTTGAGCGCTGATAAATAATGTATGTTGAGTTTCTCAGACTCTCTAAATATGATTAAAATTAACTGTCAAGATGGTTTCCAGCAATAAAGAAAGTGAGTTTTCTCTTCCAATGTTTCCATTCCCCTGCCGCAATAATATATTACTACCAATCAGGCAGTCAGATACAGACAGAGAATTCCCTCTGTGTATATGCGTGTGTGTTTTTCTGGTAATATTTGTATCATAGATCATTTTTTAAATATTGATAATAATTATCAGTCATTGTGGAATGGCAATTTCTTTAAAGCAAATTATAAAGCACATTTGCAGTAATATTCTGGGAGAAGTACATTATAGTAAAATGACCAAAAACAGTTGTCCTCACTTGGATGGAGTAGCACTGTCCACCGTTGGGGATGTAGGAAAGTATGTATGTGTGTGTGTGTGCGTGTGTGTGTGCGTGTGTGTGTGTGTGTGTGTGTGTGTGTGTGTGTGTGTGAAAGAGAGGGTTGGAGGCTTAGATCTTCAGAATGAGGACATTTTTGGGAAGTGAGGACATCTTGGCCAGAGACAGACCCCTTAAAGGCATGTTTGAGGGTAATGTGCTACGAAATGCATTGTGTCAATGATTGTCCTCATAAAGTTAGAAGTACAAGGTTGTGTGCGTGTGTGTGTGTGCTCCAGAGACCATTACGTGAACAGGCCTATCCTGGTTGTGTTCATCATAATTTCTCTGGGAGGTGTTGTTCTTGACAAGATCCAAATGCTCTTCAGAAATTTTGATAAGTGTGCTGTGTATGTGTGTGTGAGTGCGTGCGTGTCTAGGCTGACAAACCCTATGACGAGCATAGGTTTCCCAGGTTGCCTTCCTACTGGATTGCCTCATTAAGGGCAATCCATCCATCCATCCACCTATCTCCCCTTCCATCCTTGGTTCCTTCCTTTCTTATCCCAGGCATTTTAATACAGAGGCAGGAATAAAATAGTTTCTCATTAACTGCTGCGACCATGCATCCATATGTATGAAGCCATTCCCTTTGACTATGTTACAGACAGCCCATAATAAAATCTGTTTCTCCCACTCGTAAAATGTGTAATTTAAAAGAAACGTATTGAAATCACTGCAGTCTATGTATGCATCGGTTATCAAGCCTATCCGAACACTGGTGTTTGGGATTCAGATCCATGGTTGCATTGTTGTTAAGCGTGAGCTTTTACCAATTACTTTGCATTCTGAAGGGGTCTCAGTTCCACGAATAACCTGTTCCTTTAACGGCAGGAAATATTTTTGCAAAGACAACAAATTGCTGACTTAGACATGATTTTTTTTTTTAATTGATGTTCCACTAAAAACTGCTTCTTCTCTCTCAGGATATTGCCACCATGCAGTTGTGTGCCAACAAGCTGGACAAAAAAGACTTTTTTGGCAAGTCGGACCCCTTCCTTGTTTTCTACCGGAGTAATGAGGACGGAACGTGAGTCTGAGCACCATTCAGATATGACCAGATAAGGCACTCTGAACAGACAGGAACAGATTTGATGTTTAAATAAATATGACTGAAGCCTGATTTAAGGGCCGTTTAAAAAGGTGCATGCAACATTAGAGAGCTTTTCCCATATTTGTCAAGAGTTTCAAATCAATATTTGAGCCTCCTTCAATTGCACACACACCCTCCAGTTTTAAGAAGAAAAAAAAGCATGCGAAATGGCCAAATGTGATTCTGATTTATAATTTTTGAATGGCAAAACTGCTTGTTCTGTCACTTACTTTGACTCAGATTATATTTACTTTTTCATCTTTTAAAGGTGGGTTTCAGATACAAAGCATGCTTTAGACAGACAGATAGTATTTTATTGAACCCAAAAGGGAACAGGAAGCTGAAACCTGTTGAAATATATGCAGTCTCCTTATCTTCAAAGCAACCTGGTGGTTCCAACAATGTCATTTATCCCTGACATTTTTATGTAAGCCGTGTTGATGTTGCTGAACATCAAGAACAGATTACAAACAATGTATTGGACATGATTGAAAAGTGTTTTGTCAGCATTTCGGAGGTGATGAATACATATGTTCATGCCAGTAATATCAAATGGCTCACCTGGTTTCCTATACAAATCATTTTTTGTGTGTGATTTGAGTCATATGACGCCACCCATTGAGGCTTATCTCAACCCTGAAGATTATTACCTCCTTCTGCGGCTCTGCCTTGATGAGTTTTTATTTTTTGTAGTAGTAATAAAACTGTCTGCAATTCTGTCATGTCCGCTAGATATACTTAAACAGATGTAAAAAAAAAAAAGATAAATTACAACAAACTGCAAAGGAAGCTGCAGATAAGTGATGTGGGATTATCTTCACAGGCAATGTGAACGTGCTTTCCCTTTAGTGGCCTTGTGTGTGTGTGTTATTTTGCTGGCAGGTTCACCATCTGCCACAAGACGGAGGTGATCAAGAACACACTGAACCCGGCGTGGCAGCCCTTCACCATCCCCGTTAGAGCTCTCTGCAATGGCGATTACGACAGGTCAGAGATTTTATTGCACAACTCTATTATATAAACAAATGGATCGTGAATGAAATGTCATCATGAGGTATTCAATTTCTATGAGAAACTTGACTGTACTGACTTGTATCTGTACAAAGTTTGGTGGTACAGAGGAATGAGCCCCTGCTGAGCTGGAGGGGGGGCTGGTGGTCTGGGGCTGGTTGATGGAGCTGTCGGGGATGGAGTCAGGGCTGTCCCATTGTCTTTCAAATCTACATAAGAAATTGTTCAGCTTGTCTGTCAGGCATTGGTCGTTCAAGGAGTGGGAGGTTTTAGGCTCGTAGTAGGTGATCTGTCTGAGACCTCTCCAGACAGAAGCAGAGTCACTTGCTGAGAGCTGGTGTTGCAGTTTCTCAGAGTACAGTTGTTTAGCGTCTCTCACCACCTTACTAAACCTGTATTTTGCCTCTTTGTACAAGTCCTTGTCCCCACTCCTAAATGCCTGATCCTTGTGCAGCCTTAGCTGTCTGAGTTCTGCTGTAAACCAGGGTTTGTTGTTGTTATAACTCACCCTGGTGCTTGATGGAACACAGCTGTCCTCACAGAAGCTGATGTATGACATCACAGCCTCTGTGTACTCATCCAGACTGTTGGTAGCAGTCCTGAAAACGTCCCAGTCTGTACAGTCTAAACACGCCCGAAGATCCTCCATAGCTTCACTGGTCCACTGCTTGAATTGCCTCAGCACAGGTTTACGGAGCTTTAATTTCTGCATGCAGGAATCAGATGGACCATGACGTGGTCAGAGAGTCCCAGTGCAGCACGAGGGACGGCGTGATCGGCCCCGCTGATTGTTGTGTAACAGTGGTCTAAAATGTTCTCCTCTCTGGTTGGACATTTAATAAACTGTCTGTATTTAGGGAGTTCATGACTGAGGTTTCCTTTGTTAAAGTCACCAAGGACAATAACTAACGAGTCCGGGTTGGTCCGCTCCACAAACCGTATCTGTTCGGCAAGTGTCCGCTGTGCTTCCTGCACGTTACCCTGCGGTGGCATGTAAACACCGACCAGTATGAATGAAGCGAACTCACGGGGGCAGTAAAAGGGTTTACAGTTTATAATGAAAGATTCCAGATCAGGAGAACAGTGCTATAGAACCACTGTCACATCGTTACACCAGCCACTGTTGGAGTAGAAACAGATTCCTCCACCCTGTAGGGGAACTTTGAGGCACAGGCAGACTCTTATGTGGATGACATCACCTTTTGCTGGGGCGGTCAGAATAATGCCAGCAGTCGGTCATGGTGTCCCAGGGACCAGCACTGGTGTTATTGAGACTGACTCAGTTTTCACATAGCACTCTGTTATCTATGTCAGGTTAGACTGTGCTGAGCGGCTGTGCCAGTCATTCGCTGCCAGATACACACTCCATACAGAAGTGCATACAGTGCCACTTTTGTAAAAACTAGGGAGCTATTATCCTCTGCTCCTCCTGGATTTTTGTTAATTATCGTAAGGACTCGCTGTTCAAAATGACATCCATGACCAGTGACGCGTTAGCGGGACGTTCCATCTAAAAGGTTGGAAAGTTTGAGTTAGAACGGTTTGCAAGAGCTTAAGTATACACACAAACATACACACAGGTGTTTTTGACAGGATGTGATCTGATATAGGGCAGACCTTCGGAATTAAAATATTCTCTGTCTATTTCAGGACTGTAAAGATAGATGTCTATGACTGGGATCGAGACGGAAGGTAAAATCATCTATGGGTAACCACTCACTGTGGCGCCGTGATTCATATTGATGTTTTTCAAATGTTAGAGAACAATGAAACCGCTGTGTGTAAATATATTAAAATGTACTGAGAAATTGACAGAAACAAAGAATCCAGAAAAGACACATGGATAAAGACAAAGACGTGACAATTTCTCTCCAATTATGAAATCTGCATTCATGCTCACCTGTCTTTGTGGGTGTTTTGTCTGCAGCCATGACTTCATTGGCGAGTTCACCACCAGCTACAGAGAGCTGTCTCGGGGGCAGAACCAGTTCAATGTCTACGAGGTGAGACGTGACATGGGGGGGGGGGGGGGGGGGGGGGGTTGGTTGTTGTTTCTCACTGCTTTTGTTACTTCTTTTTTTAAGGACACAAGGTGAGAAATTTAAATGTTGAATTACTGAATATAATGGAAGTCTACAATAACGGGCAAACACTCAGTCAAACATTTTCAGTTGAGACCAAACATTCATCACAGCAGAAAAAAGAAATAAAAACCTTATTTCTCTACAGTTTTGACCAAATATGCACACAAGTCAATACAAACACCAAGAATATATGAATGGTCAGGCTGCTCTCACTGTTGGTGGCTAAAACCTATGGAAGGTAATAATGGGGTATAATTGTTATATAACCCACGTAATCAATTTGTAGGCAATCCACATAAACGTGAGGCAGGACAGTTGACGTAATATAAAAAGCGACAAAGTCGGAGAAGTGTGGAGGTCGTGGAGGAAGGTATACGGGCACAAAAACACAGGACTTTCACTCAGGAGAGCGCTGTATGAAACCAGAAGTAGCTGCCGATACGAGAGCCGAATACGGTGTCTCTACGTTACTCATCCGCATTTCAAATATGGTAACTTCCCCTCATCCGTTGCAAAAAAGCCCAGATGGCGAAGGCGAAATTGTTAAACTCGAGGCTTCAAAACGGCAGTCGACAAACCAATAGGTGACGTCATGATGACTACGTCCACTTCTTATATACAGTCTATGGTTGTAACCCAAAACCCCAATCTTTTCCGAAACCTAACTTAAATTTGCTCCAAGCTAACCAATTAACAATAGTACTGCAGCATAATGATTGAATTCTCTAATCTAAAGGAGAAGAGAAAGTGAAGTCGGATTTGTAAAGGATGGATGCTTTAATCTCTCCACCTCTCCCTTTGCACCGTCTCCACTCTCTATATAAACACAGTTAAACATAACATCAGTCTCAATTCGTGGCCTCTCAGTATCAGAAATCTGTTGAATTATTCATGTGAACGTCGTTCCAGGGTATGAAGTACCTGCTCAGTCACTAACTCGCTTCCCACCATCGCCGGCAGGTTTTGAATCCCAAGAAGAAAGGCAAAAAGAAGAAATACGTCAACTCTGGAACTGTGAGTACGCCCACACCTCTAATGTCCCATTTCATGTTTTACATATTCATATAGGTACCATCACCTCTTACATCTGCTTCTCTCTTGCTGACTCCGCTGCTGTCTGGCCACCTGTTAGTCTTATTCCTTCCCGTCCACCTGGCCCCGGTCCCTTCTCCGCCCCTCCTTCTCTTTTCATAACTCGGTATGTGTATGTGTGTGTGTGTGTGTGTGTGTGTATGTGTGTGTGTGTGTGTGTGTGTGTGTGTGTGTGTGTTCGCCAGGTTACTCTGCTGTCCTTCAAAGTGGAGTCCGAGTATACCTTTGTGGATTTCATCCGAGGAGGGTGAGTGGAATAATAATAAGTCTGCTCTCACAGTGAGTGCTTGTTGCGGGGGACATGAATCTGTTTACAACATCACATTGTGGGGACTCGCCGTGCTTATGGGGGCAAAATGCAGCTCCCCATAACGTAAATCATTACATTTTAGGGTGAGGACGTGGTTTAAGGTTAGGGTTAGGGTTAGGGTTAGGCTAATGGCCGGTTAGGGCTGGTGTAAGTCATCAGGCAATGAATGTAAGTCAATGTAATGTCCTCTAAAGTGATTTGTGTTCGTGTTGTGTGTGGAGATACCAATGTACTCTCTAAGAGCATCACTCTGAATTCATACTGGCTATGAGTTTTGGGAGAAATTTGCATTTGTTAATACCTAATTTATTGAGTTCAATCACTTTTGAGTACTAGTTACATTTTTTAGGCCTTCGAGATGGTGGAGGGGATATTGTCATACTAGTACTACTACTAATTAGCCAGTAAACTAATTACTTTGCTCTTATTTGCATCAATGTCTATGCGTTGGAGATAAAGTGTGTGTTAAGTCTACTGAAGTGTGTGATCTTTGTTGTTTTCTTCTCTTTGATTTCCATTGTCTATGCAACAGAACACAACTCAACTTCACAGTGGCTATAGACTTCACAGCATCCAATGGTACGTCCCGCACTGTTGTTATAGATACATTCCTTTGTCTTGCATGTATTTTCATTCACAGCAACAGGCTCAGGCTCAGAACAATTCTTTTTCAGTGGAAGCCGGTGTTGTGAAGTTACAAACTGACACTTGTCGAGCACATTGTGGACAAATCAAAGTGTAGCACTCGCCCGATCTGACCAGTGTCTGACGAGTATTCTGCTCTGCTTTTATGCAATTGTTTCATGTTATTATGTTTAAATGTTGTCTAATAGTGATACCCGTTACCCGGAGAGGTTAGAAGGAGATATATGCTTCTAAAACTCCCTAAAAACTAACACTGAGTACGTAGCACATCATTAACTAGCATTTGCACCTCTGTGCCACGCTAGCTATTGCTTTGTAATGATTGTAACTGAATAAAAACATACCTGGCTTTATAGTAACACTGATCCTTAATTGTATTGTCTGTCTCAATCACCAGCTAATGCGGTGATTCTTTTCTACACTGTGACCTGGAGGCTTTAGCTTCTATCTTTATTGTTTTGGCGTTTACTTTTAAAATATAACGCTTCGGTGTGAAAAGCACTCGTCCCTTTTCTCCTCTGTAATGTAACATGGCCTTTCTTCATTTTTAATGGCAGACACTCCTGCGTCTTGTGATGGTGGACACTCCGCTGTTTCGGAATAGATTGTTACATTTAGGCTCTTACTTTCACATGATGGAAAGTGCAGTCGACCGTGCAACGTGCACGGTGCGTGGCCAATGTATTTAGTATTTCCGTTAACGTGACTCTATGATTTACCTTTTATAGCCCTGAAAATATCACATTATTCATGCCAAGATTCTGCATGCAGCTCATCGCACACACAACCTGTCGGTTATTCAAAAATGCAATGGCTAGACGTTACTTTTGTAGAAACCCGTTTGAAAGGAGGAGATGAAACACGGTTGGCATGAATCATCTCCTGTGCTCCACTGGTGACACTTTGTATTTCACAGGTGGGGGGGGGGGAGACATATTATCATTCACTTCTTTGTGTTGTATGTATGTGTGTGTGTGTGTGTGTCTTCCTCCAAGGCAACCCCTCCCAGCCCACTTCCCTCCACTATATGAGTCCCTACCAGATGAATGCCTATGCCATGGCCCTGAAAGCGGTAGGTGAGATTATCCAGGACTACGACAGTGACAAGCTCTTTCCTGCCTATGGTTTCGGAGCTAAGCTGCCCCCCGACGGCAAAATCTCCCACGGCTTCCCGCTGGTAAGACACGCGTGTGAACGTGCACACAAACACATGAATTAACACACACAAGGCACACACGTGGTCCACCCGTATATCAGGGCGTGGCTTGGACCAGAGTTGTCGCTGCGACGACAGCTGGTCGCAGAAGTTGAGGATTCGGCTCATCTGGCTGCCAGCGGGAATCTCCCAGCATTCCCCCTCCTCTTCCTCCTTGCATCCTCCTGAGGGATCAGGGCAACCATTTAGGAACCGCTGGATGCTAAGCTGAAGGGAAGTCTGGCTCTTAAGACACTGGCATGGCCTCTGCTTCTTTGCTCCTGGTTTTCTTTTCTTTTTTCTTTTTTATGAAACTCCCTGTACTTTATGGAAGGGCAATGATCTACATCACAGAAGTGTCTCTTTAAAAATTCCGCCTTCATACTTTATGACTATAACATTATGGATTCAGCAGGCCTGGACGTAGGGTTTTAGAAATACCAAGGTCAAAACATATCTCTGTGTTAATTTCATTGTGTGAATTGGATCAGTTTTTTGTTTGTGCTGAACAGCACAGAGACAAGATGCTATCCTGGGCTCGGTGGATAGTATGTGCCATTCCTCTCTCATCTCCATCACCTTCTCTCTTTCTTTTTCTCTCAACCTCCTCATCTTGTCCCCATATCTCTTTCCTTTCCCAAAGCTGACTTTTGAAATCTTTTAATTTCCGTCTCTCTCAGTGAAAAAAAGTGAACGGAGAATAAATTGATATCTTCATATCACTGGAGTTGTTCCGATACCAATACACAATACACTCAAAATGTCAATTTTCATTGAAAGTTTGCAGTCTTCCATTGGATGTATGTAATTATTGTTTGCTGGCTAGCAAGCTAGCTAGTTAATCCCCTCAAGTGAAACTAACAAGGCGGGATCATGATGGGTGGTCCCTGTAACAAGCCTGCATGGGAGCTATCCGTCGGATGATGTCGGTCCGGGGAAGAATGGCATTGAACTATAGAAGCAGTCCACTCGTAAAGCGAACTAATTATCTGAATCACGCCCAGCAGGGATTTAGCTGCCCATCCGGTTTCCTCGAGTTGTTGGCATAATCAAAGAACCACTGTGTTGCATAAACACACACACACACAAGCAATGGCGGCAATCAGATGAGCAAGTCAGTAATCTTGGCATCGTATCTTTACTGCACCAAAGTATTTGTAGTCAATTATTTCACAATTTGTAATATATACACCTAATAAAAAATAGTGGATCCCAGTGATCTCACTCTTTGGGCACAGCCATGTCTGTACTTGTGTGAACTTGACAGTTGAAGGGAGAAATGTACCGGTATTGCCCTCCGCCGAATCGCAAGCTCACAGACTTTTTCATTAGATGCAGTTCCTACTGTTGGAGGAAGACAGACACATTTATTTGTAGCTATAGCCTCTTGTGTTTTCTGGATGTCTTCTCTTTAAGGGTGTGGGCCACCTGTTTTCCCCTATTTCCTTGTATACAGTGTATCAGTTAAATGTAGATAGATTGCGTATCATTACAGCTAATAGCAGCATATATAAGATATGTTTGATTATCTTTAATTGGAAGAACTATGTAAATATGCCTACAGTTATGTACTCTGGAGGGATTGATGCCCATTGCTTATTGCACCGCCCTGTTAATTAAACTGTCTGTACACTGAATGTGTGAATGTACACTGTGCGGTTCATTAGTGTCCTGTATGCTGTCTGTTGCAGAGCGGTGATGCTGAAAATCCAAACTGTGTGGGCATAGAGGGGGTTCTGGAGGCTTATTTCCAGAGCCTGAGGACGGTGCAGCTGTACGGACCCACAAACTTTGCACCTGTTATCAACAAAGTGGCAAAGTAAGTTTCATCGCGTCCTCTTCTATCGGAAATACCTGGCTGCTAGCAACGCGGCACATTTGAGCAGAACTTTTGTCAGTCGAGATGATTGGAAAAAAAGCTAGTCCTCCTCATCCTCCTCTGTTGTTCTATGGGTATTCAGCATAGGGGCAAATTGTTAAAACTAAGACCTACAATAAATGAAAGGTCTAGAGGTTGCTAAAAGATCTGACTCCAAAACATTCCATGTTTTTGCTGTGAAAACATGGATTAACCTGGGTCACTACACACACACACACACACACACACAGAAATATGGAGTCACAGATCAATGTCATGTTCAGCCAGGTGGAACTGCTAAGTCGCTTGTATAAGATACCGTCTCCCTGCAATAAAGACACAAACAGCAGGTGAAGGACACACACACACACCTACGTGTTGAAACACTCAACCAACACTCAGCTGCCAAATATCAGCTCAAGCTTGAAATGATGCCAGATGAGTTTGGAGATGTGGATATTTCTGTTTGTTTTTCTCATCGAGCCCCATGTTGGAAAGGGAATGAAGAGCGGTGGAAAAACAAGAAGCAGGGTCACACGGTTTCCTTCGTGCCGTGTTTTTCGGTGCTTGTTATTTTTTGAAGGGTCTCTCTTGTTGCTGAAGGTTGTGTTTTTTAGGCGGTAAACAACTCTGTGAACAAAGGGGTTGCCATGGTGATTGGAAGGAGATCAAATCCATTTTAATTGAGTTTTTATGTTACATTCAAATCAAAATGTACTTAAACCCAGAGATCCCAAAGTTAAATGCCCATTTTTTGGGGTATAATAATAATAATGGTTTTCATGTAATATTTTTTATTAACCAATTTTTTTGACTCTCTGTTCTTGTACAGTTTTATACTTGTGTTTTCGGTTTCGTTTAGAAAAGACACAAACCTCTAATTAACTCTTGCTTGAGCCCCGTGCTTAACTTCATTCAGCCCGTGAGGAAATCCTAAACTTGATAGATCTGCCTAGATTTGCTAGGCTGTGATTGGACAAGCACACATGGATACAATTGCACAGTGAGTTGACAAAGAAAGAATGGAAATGTATCTGGAAGCCATCTAAATATATATTTATAAAAATAATAATCAACCTAATTATATGTAATCAAGTAATGTTGGCCCCGCGGGCGATCACCCCGACCTCAACAGTGAAAACTTGTATTAGAGAAAACTTGACAAAGCACTCTTTAGGGCAGGAGTCACTAATAGGCGGACTGCGGTCTGGGTTTGGACCCAAACGCCATTGTATCCAGACCTGGACCTATAACTGATTGATAATTGATAATTATTACATTTTGAAGGAGGGCTTCTATTTTAACTGCCGCCTTTACGGCACTCGTTCAGCGGTTCAGGAAACACACCGACCAATTGCATGCGTTGTAAACCATCTCACTTGACACTACTCGGCCAATCAAATATGTGCGTTATATACTGTATATAATCATCGCTACTCGAGTGAGATATACAGTACACACACGGGAGAGAAAACACACAGTCGGAGGATTACGTGAGTCAGAGAAGCTATTTCACATGACGTGCTCGAAAAAAGGGAAATGTGGACAGCTTGTACAGTCCTTAATCAAGAATGGACAAACTCCTAAATGTCCATTCTTCCCACGGGCAGTTAAAGAATCATCCATCCATCCATCCATTTTCCTCCGCTTATCCGGGGTCGGGTCGCGGTGGCAACAGGCCAAGCAGGCTGACCCAGACTTCCCTCTCACCGGCAACATGTTCCAGCTCATTCTGGGGGATCCTGAGGCGTTCCCAGGCTAGCTGGGAGATGTAATCCCTCCAGCGTATTCTGGGTCTTCCCCGGGGTCTCTTCCCAGTTGGACGTGCCTGGAAAACCTCCAGTGGGAGGCGTCCAGGAGGCATCCTAATTAGATGCCCGAACCACCTCAGCTGACTCCTTTCGACGTGAAGGAGTAGCGGCTGAACTCCAAGCTCCCTCCTGATGACCGAGCTCCTTACCCTATCTCTAAGGCTGAGCCCGGCCACCCTACGGAGGAAGCTCATTTCGGCCGCTTGTAACCGCGACCTTGTCCTTTCGGTCACGACCCAGAGTTCGTGACCATAGGTGAGGGTAGGAACGTAGACCGAGCGGTAAATTGAGAGCTTTGCCTTCCGGCTCAGCTCACTCTTCACCAAGACGGTCCGGTGCAGCGCCTGCTTTACTGCTGCAGCTGCACCGATCCGTCTGTCGATCTCCCGCTCCATCTTACCCTCACTCGTGAACAAGACCCCAAGATACTCCTCTCTTCACCCGAGTGTCCAAGACATACGGCCGCAAATCAAATGATACGATTACAAAGTCGATCTCCGGCCTAAGGTGTTCTGGTACCAGGTACACTTATGAGCCACCTTATGTTCGAACATGGTGTTCGTTGTGGCCAAACCGTGGCAAGCACAGAAGTCCAATAACGAGACACCATTCGGGTTCAGATCGGGCAAGCCGTTCCTCCCAATCACCCCCCGCCAGGTTTCTCCGTCATTGCCCACGTGAGCATTGAAGTCCCCCAGCAGAACTATGGAGTCGGTAGGTAGCGCCCTTTCCAGGACCCCTCCCACCGACTCCAAGAAGGCCGGATACTCTGAACTGCTGTTTGGTGCGTAAGCACAAACCACAGTCAGAGCCTTGCTCCCCGCAACCCGTAGGCGCATGGAGGCGACCCTCTCATTCTCCGGGGAGAACTCCAACACAGCGGCGCTCAGCCGGGGGCTCGTGAGTATCCCCACTCCCGCCCGGCGCCTCTCACCCTGGGCAACTCCAGAAAAGGACAAAGTCCAACCTCTCTCCAGGAGCTTGGTTCCAGAGCCAGCGCTGTGTGTGGAGGTGAGTCCAACTATACAGTATCTAGCTGGTATCGCTCCACCTCCTGCACCAGCTCCGGCTCTTTCCCCGCTAGCGAGGTGACGTTCCACGTCCCTAGAGCTAGTCTATGCTGCCGGCGATCGGCTCGCCCAGGCCTCCTGCCTGACCCGCCGCCCGGTCTGCATTGCACCCGACCCTGATGCTTGCCCCTGCGGGTGGTGGGTCCACAGGGTGGCTGCTCCATGCTGTTTATTCGGGCTGAGCCCGACCGGGCCCCATGGGCGAAGGCCCGGCCACCAGACGCTCGCCGACGAGCTCCCCTCCTGGGTCTGGCTCCGGGAGGGTGCCCCAGTTTCCCTAGTCCGGGCGAGGTGGCTAAAGTCCGTGGGCCGCTTATCATTAGGGTCGTTTGAACCGCTCTTAGTCTGGGCTCTCCCCCGAGACCTGTTTGCCTTGGGAGACCCTACCAGTGGCTAATGCCCCGGACAACATAGCTCCCAGGATCACTGAGCCACTCAAACTCCTCCACCACGTTAAGGTGGCGATTCGCAGAGGAGGTTAAAGAATCAGTACGTCTCAAATCTTTTGAGTAGACGTACCCACTCAAATCTGAAATGAATGCCCAGAAAATAAACGATCTAAAGGACCAATGTAATAAAAATTCTAAGACATCATTTTTCATTACCCATCGATGATGTTAACGGAGAGGAAAATAAGGTTATGGTTTCCATAACAACGGATATAGCCCCTGCACACAATTTTCTCTTTTTAGAAGATGAGGATAATATGGATATTGTGACTTTTTTGATTGACATCACTTCACCCTGAAATAAATTACTTTAAAGCTGCAGGGCATGGACCATTGGGTTAAATACATTTTTCTAAAATTAAGTACTTTTTATTTTATTTTTCCAAAGCTTTCTTATATGTATTTTATTTTGATATTCTGCAAATGAGAGAACATCTATTTATTATTAGAGGATGCATTATTCATAATTCACCCAGTTCAATTTGAAAACTGATATTAAATATTGACACTCAGTTGTTGACTACGTACAGAAGTTAATACAACTGCTAGGCTACTTCAATATATAAGGCACAAAATCCTATTGGAGGTTAGACTTTATTGTGATGTACCGGAGGGAATTCTCTTTAACTGGACCTTGCTTAATGTTAATTAAATACCCCTGCTCTAGGGTTCTTTTCCCTTCCCCTCCAGTGGAGAAAACATGATGAAGTGCCCTCTAGGGGGCCTTTCCAGTGGAGAAAACATGAAGAAATGCTCTCTAGGGTGCCCTTCCAGTGGAGAAAACATGACAAAAAGTCATTCTGGATGCCCTTTCAGTGAAAAAAAAAGTGATTATGCGTCCTCTATGGCAGTGATTCTCAACTGGTCTGGCTGCGGGACCCACCATCACCCCTTAATGACAAGCCATGACCCAAATTATATATATATACTGTATATATATATATATATAATTTGGGTATATCTATATTCAAGAAGTCTAGTAGTAGTAACGTCTCTGTATAGTAAACAACTGTTAAATCAAATAAAGAAAGTACACAATTATATTTTAACAAATATTATTCTCATTTTTCAAATTTAACTGGATGGATTATAAATAATACATAGAAATACATAAATAAATGTTCTTCTCATTTCAAGTAAAATAACGGCTGGATTAAAAAATAAATTACATAACGAAATTCATTTTAGAAAAATTATTTTCACTCAATTGTCCTGCAGCTTTAAATTCAGTTCATTCAGTGTGAAGTGAAAAAGCCACAACATTATTTTTTTCTCATCTTCTAAAAAGAGAAATTAGTGTTGGAAGAATTCACCTCTATGAGTCTGTCCAGTCAGAGTCTAATGACTCTGGTATCTCTGGACATTTTTCTCTTTTGGAAATCGTCCTATAATTTGACTTTCACAACTCACACCTCAATAGTCCTACTCCGCTGTCTATATCCTCGTCTCTCCCCCCGTGTGTCACGGTGTGTGTACATCTCACTCAAGTCAGGAAACTTGTCAGAATGCCCATATTTGATTGGCTGAGCTGCATCACGTGATGTGATTCACAACGCATTGGTGGGTGTTTTTCCTGCACCGCTGAACAAGTGCCGTAAAGGCTGGAATAACTCCGCTCCATAAAAAATGCCCTACAAAATAAAATCATATTTTTTTTTTGTGTCAGGCAAAGGCCCGCGACCCAGTGAAAACGGGTCCCACCAGTTGAGAATCGCTGCTCTATGGGCCCTTCCAGTAGAGAAAATTCCCACTCGAAGTGACGCCCAGGGTGCCATTCCAGTGGAGCAAACTTAATGCAGTGCTACATACTGTAGGCTGCCTTACATGCTAGAAACATTTCTCCGCACTGATGCCCCCTGCCCCTCAGACAGCCTGAGTCTGCCACTGTAGTTGCTCAGCACAGACAGTTATTTTGGTGCCATATAGTTTGGTAAAATTTAAAAAAAGAAATTCTAAGACAGTGATGTCATCATGGGACCAGAGTATTTTCCTTAAGTCATTTATAACTCAACATCTAGAGAGCAGAATGGAGAAAAATAAAAGACATGCTATTGATTCGGTTTGGCAAACATAGCTTCAGGAAGGTCAAAGGGTCAGACACATAACTAGAAAGTTACTGTGTGTTGTGAGCTTGATTCAACTCTGTGCATGTCCTGAGCCACCGTAGACTCTGGAATGATGTTTGAGATCATCAGGCAGGTGTTCTTGTTGTTTTCACTAGTAGTCTGCAAGTCCTCAGGCAGAATGTTAGCTCTAACCCGGGTTCATTTGTGTGTGTGTCTGTCTGTGTGTGCACGTTCCCCAGCTGCGCAGCAGAGATTACAGATGGCTCTCAGTACTTCGTTCTACTGATGATCACAGATGGAGTGATATCCGACATGGTCCAGACCAAAGAGGCTGTGGTCAATGTGAGTAAATGAAACACACACATACAGCGCACACACACACATTTGATGTGTAAACAAGCGTGCATGGAGACTGATGGATGCTTTTCCCTCAGTTCTGATGTTCATCTCAGTACCCTCTCTTGTATTTAGTGTGGAGGGCAAAAGCTCCATTATACTAAAGAATAATTCTTTGTATGATGTTTGGATTAAAGCAGCTTCTTAGTATTCCGTGATAAGTGAAAGACAGAAGGAGAGGAAAAATACCAAACTCAAATTCAGGGAGAGGAAAATATATTTTTGCTCTAATTGTGACTGATCTCACTTCCGTGGAGAGATCAATAGTCGTTTCAATAGCATAGTGTGAGAGGTGCCTGATCCAATTAGTTGGGTTCTAAGTGTTTTCTTTCATGGCAGGCGATGTACAATATTAAAAACAAGTTATTTGTTATTTTTTCCCTCCTAATTAAAAAGCTGAAGTGTCTGATATTTGCTTTAAATCGCACTAATGCTACAACTCTTCTTCCCTGGGGTTGTCTCCAGGCGTCGACTTTTGATTTTGTGACAAGGAGAGTTACGGTTTGGAAAATAGAGGTAATTTCTGTAAGTTTAGGATATTGGGTCAGATAAACAGCCTCACCTTTCAGATTCCAAAAAATAACGAATCAACACTTGTGTTGACAATGTGTATTATACGGCCAGAAGTTTAGTTTGAAACATTCAATAAATGAACTAACATTATCAACAGAATGTGGAGAGGTAACTGTGTTGATTATTATGTCAAGCACGTTGTCTATTGTGTTGTAGATATCTACTGAAATAAGCACGCTAACCAGCTAGCCCCGACCCGCCCTGTGTTGTAATACCTCGTGTACCTTCAGAGGTGATAGTGAGTCTCTGTAGCGTCCAGTCTGTCCTCAGTCCAACACTGAGGATGAAGAAGTGGAGCTGCCCCGAGGGCTCTTCTTACACATTATTTTTTTTGCAATTGCCAAAACACAAAAACCTTTGGGATAAGTATTGAAAGCAGTAACTTATCTATCTATTGACCAGGTCTGCTGAACCATAAGCACATTGTCTGCTTTACACTAAGTTTGAAATTCTAAAACACAAGTTTATCTACATTAGACTTAATCATTCAAAACTAAAAGCTGTTGTTTGCTAAACACTGCCATTGAAATACCTACACTCAATCATCAATCGCCTCCACCCAGAATGCATTACCTGTGAAAACACCTGTAACCAACTGGATCACTTAGAAACAATATAAGTAGGATTCAGGTTTGCATTTGTGTTCGTGGTCTATATTTACAGCATGCTACAAATGAAAATGATAATAGTGTTTTTATACTTGACGCATCAGTGTGCAGTTGGCCTGTGGAGAAAGCTATTTATTTGGTGTTTGTCTGTAAAGTTGTGATGCAAATATAGTATTTTTTAGAAGAGTTTATACAGTATTAAATTAAGTGTTACTTTTGCAAGAGATAAAAGATTTTTTTTTTTTTCTGTAGAGTTTCAACAAAACCAATTGCATTTTGGTTCTTTGTTCAATGGATTACATTTAAACGAAGTAGAAAACGACTCACAGCGTCGCGTCAGGCAACTTTGCCAAGGAACCCCAGTTAGCAGCTAGCTTAACTTCAGCCAGTGCACTGGGGGTCTGATCCCAGGGGCACTGCCCAGACTTCCCGCAGGATCAACAAATGTCACGTTACCGCCGTTACACAGGTCAGACCCAGCACTCCAGCAGACGCTGTGACTCCCGGTGCTGGGGTTTGTGTGCTGACTGAATCTGTGAGTCCATTTCATATCTTATATTTAGGATTTAGTCCAATAAACAAACTATTAAAAGGGTACAGGGGTCCCTACAGTTAGTGTCACAAACACACGGATGGGCTAACTTAAACTAAAGGCCGACAGAAAGATTATAAAATAGCAGCATTATTTTAAACCTGCTCTCAGAGTTTCAGCAGTTTGGTTTGATTTAGCTTATCCTCAACCTGCTGTTTATGGAAGCCCATTTCCGCCATCAAAAAAAAAAAGATAAAAAGGTATGAGAATTATGAAAAAATGATGATATTAAAAGCCATAATTATGATATATATAGTCTAAATCTTGAGATAAAAAGTCATAATTATGAGATAAGAAGTGCGCATTCGCTTCAGTGACGATGTCCTCACAGGTCCCTTCATCCCCTCGCCAGTGTTACGGTTTATCAAGGGACCCTGTTAAATGGCGACTTTCAGCCGAATACGTCTGTTGTTGTCGTAGTTCCGACAGCTGTTGAAAATGGGAAGAGAACACGTAGCCATCCTCGTGAATGCCGCATTGTTTAATTTTGCAGTACAGTGTCAAACCTTCTCATTTACAGTCTATGGTCAAAACAGACCGGATTCGACGCTGGAGAATCTGTTGAGGAAACGAGTCCACTCGAGTTTTAAATGTAACTTGTTGTTTATGTGTTGAAACAGGAAGGGAACAGGTTGCCCTTCCTTTGAAATAATAAAGTTGATAAAAAACACATAATTGTCTTTGGAGCCCATTTTGTGCAAACATGTGTCACGTAAAAGAACTCTGTAGCACAGTTAATAAAATAAATAGAATAAAAATATATATATATACAGTATACAAATTACTGAATTCTATGTAAGGGATTCAAAGTCATATCATTGTGTGGAAAGAAAGTCGGTGGGCAGATGCACTACCACTACGCCACAATCACAGTCAACGTACTGATTTGATACAATTAACTTAAACAAGGTATGACACAGTCAGCAGTTGCTCCTAAGAGCAAAGGCCGACTTTTTATCTCATAATTTCTTTTTTTTGTGTTCATTGTCTTTGCTTTTGTCTCCTGCACAGGCATCAGGACTCCCCCTGTCCATAATTATCGTAGGCGTTGGACCCGCTGAATTTGATGGTGAGTGTTTCATTATAGTAACATGTAACATTATAGTAACAGGTCCGTCATGTCAACATGAGTTAACGAGGACAAAAAGTCACTTTATCTCCAGAGGACAAAATTGTTTAATCGGCATCACAGTCTCGCTGTAGAGATGTCTCTTTAATCACAATAACACACGTGATCCACTTTAAGGTGACTGGCTTCACACCCGGTTGAAGCAGTCGGCTAAAAAACAACGAATGAGCATAATACCACCATGGCTCACTGGGTTAAGAGGGTTGTCTGGAAGGCAAGGTTGACGGTTTGATCCTTGGCTGGGACATGTCCTGTGTCGAAGTGTCCCTGAGCAAGCCATTGAACCCTTAACGGCTCCCCGGGCACCTGTCATGGGCAGCCCACTGCTCCCTATATGAAGGGATGGGTCAAATGCAGAGACAAATTTCCCCCTTACTGGGATGAATATAGTATAGTAGACAAACTGTTACAGCAGTATCTTTAAGTGGCTTAATTTTAATATAAAAAAATCACTTAAATGCAAAAATCCCATTTCATGTGGGTTTTTCTTTACTGTCCAGGCTTCCTCAAATCAATCTGGTATTGTCAAAAAACATATTTCACTAGGCAGTCTGAACAAGGCCTTATGCCGTGTTCACACCAAATGCAAATCATTCGTGCCGCAAATGAAGCGAATGAAGCGAATACGCGGATACGCCGAATACGCCGGTCTCGCCGGGGACTATTTGTGTTCATTTGCGTGAATCGTGCTGGACACGCCGGAGAGGGGGCGTGGCTTATCGCCCTGAAAGCCGTTCAACTGTCCTCCATTAACCATGGAAAAAATAACCTCTATTTCTGCTTACTACGTGTTGTGGAAGTCCCAGATATCCCGGGAAACTAAACGCCGTCATGTCTGGTTCATAATATTGTTCAGAGGAGCTCCGTGGATTTTATCGAGCTGCATTCACTGTGTCTAGCAAGCCACACGTCGCTGTTTACTACAGCTGTATGAACACAAAATAAACTGATTTGGCTGTGATTTAACGGCAATAAACCGACAAAAAGGGACTCCGAAATAACTATGTAATGATGGCGATTTGTACTTGTCTTCTCAATGGAGCTTGGATATGCTAGGCTATGCTAACATTGTAGCAGCTCCACCAGCACTCAGAATAACGTCATGTAGACGTAAATATGGCAGCGTCTATTCATTGTTTGTACCATATGGTTTACACACACATTTATACAAATAGTTTGGTCCGGTCTCTATTGATATGAGGTATTGTAGAGCTCTGGGTGAACACAGACGGCTACAGTATTTATTTCCTGATTCAACAACGGCAGGAAGTCAGTGATGACAGGAGAAACATCTCAACGCTGATAGGCTATCGTGCTGGGGCGTAACGCGAATATTTCAGCGAAGTTGAAAAATTTCACCTCACGCATTTGGGGCGATTTGGCGTTTGACGCAAATTCACGTCAATCACGTCGCGAATTCGCGTCAATCGTGCCGCGCTATCGCAAATTCGCGCCGCGCCAGTCTGATCGCATCTGTGCATAGACTTTGTATGTAATCTACTCGACTTTATGTATGTAATTCGCGCCGCGTTTGGTGTGAACGTACCATTAGTCCAATGGACGTTTCTCATAATTCTTAACAATTTTCCAACTTTTTGACTAGTTGATGCGCTTAAATGGGAAGTGGGAACATTTTTTCTGAATGAATTATGATGTAGCAAATATTTAACTCACATGACTAATCTACTGTTTGCGCTGTCTTCTTGGATATATTGTCTTCGTCTCCGGACAGCAGCCAATACTAGCTGACAGGAAAGAACAGATAAAACTTGCCTAATTGAAACAAAATTCCTGATGACCTCTCTCACTTTGACAGTGTGGCTTCTACTGCCCGAAGACATCGCAATATATACACACGCCAATGTTACCGGTAGTATCGTTGAGGTTCGATTGAGATATCGCTTCTCTCTTTTCTGCATTTTAGATTCATACTCTTGGATTGAATCTTGTATTCGTGATGGACAGTCCACAAATGGCTCCCGTCATTTCTGTACTGGACATGTACATCTTTGTTTGAGAAGCCTTTGGAAATTATGGGAGCTAACGCTCAGCTCCATAGAGACCAATGTTAAATTTTACTTCAAGAACATCTTCCACAGAACACAGTACCCCATTTCTCAATTGCCAGTTTTTTTACACTACAGACACAATTCTCACATGATCTGTATTTCAACTCATCCTTCCTCTCATGTATTAATATCAGAGCGATAGGAGCTACGGTTATGGGGGGTTTTGAGGATTTGTTTGAGAGGTGTTTCCCTGTTTTTTCTCCATGAACAGGCTGCTGGCAAACAGGTGTTTCTGATTGAGCTAATTAGTGAACACAGACTCACGCACACAAATGGACTTAGAGATATACGTGATGCAGCTCAGCCAATCAAATATGGGTATTCTGACAAGTTTCCTGATTCGAGTGACATTTACACAGACCATGACACAAGAGGGAGAGACGAGGAAAGACATGGCAGAGCAGGACAACAGTTAAGTAAGCTGTAAATGTTAAACCATAGGACCAGTCATACGCTGCAAAGCCCGCCTTTTCATGTGAACCCGAAAAATAACCAGATTGAGAACCCCTGGGGTGGAATTTTCAGAGTTCATAACAAGCGTTGTGAACGCATTTTTGTTGGGGTTAAATGAAACCAGATTACCAAAAGATATCCTGGGTATGTTGAACTGGTTTCGTAGTACAGAGCCCAAATGGCCCAGTGGGTTTGCTGTTCATATTTACATGGTCCTCACCAATATGCATTGCATGCATCCTTCAAAAAAAAAAGTTTTTTTAAATTCCATATACAATATAGGGACCTACTCTGCACTGTGCCACCACTGGCGATCAAAATCTCCGCTGTGTATCTGAAAAAAACGTAGCGTAGCAGAATTGAATTGCCGGCCCCAGCAGCGGCTTACATTGTCTGAAATGTTAAGGTGATTAAGGAGACGCAAATATGTTTTACCTGACCCGATGGGACTCCTGTGAGCAAACAGGAAACCACTTTGGCAGCTGTATCACACTTGGTTCTTCATATACACCACTCCAGTACGCTCCTCCACCTCCTGGGAGAGTCTTACAGTCCACAGATCAATGATTTTTTCAGTGGGAACTGCTTGAGTGCAGTCTGTTGCTGCTCGGCAGGCTGTGACGACCTAATGCCTCATCATTGGCTCTTTGCATTCTACTTGTTTAAGCGATCGGATGGTGGGAGAAATGGTGGTGAAAGTAAGGTCAAACTGGCTTAATAACACCTCGGAAAGAGTGTGTGTGTGTGTCTACACCTTATTGCCAGGCCTAATTGCCTCTATTTGTTATTTGCTCTGTCTTCCGTCTGTGTCCTCCATTTCTGATCGTGAGTGTGTTTAATCTCCTTAGACTGGGATTCATTTAATCTTAAAATTCATTCTCATCAGATTTTAGTAAAACTTGATTTAAATTAAGCGTAGCTCCGTCTCAGAATTTATCAACAATAATCTCTGATTAGTGAAGTTCAAACTAAAATAAAATAAAGTTGAATCAATATGGAGAAACTTGCTCACCCAAATTTAGATTTGTGTGCTGTCAGGAGCAGGTAAGTAGGCTATAAAAGGGGGGCACAAACCTTTGGATGGTCTGTGTACCATAACACTGTGATTCTCTAAGTGGTGTCTGGGGATCCCAAAGGGGTCGGTGAAATAATTTGTTATAAAACATAATACATGTGCTGTATCATTAAAAAGAGCATATCTACATGAGGGGGATCATTTGCACCATAAAACAACCATATTGAGTCCATTACCTCCACCCACGATATCTGTGGGCCAATAGAAACTCTGATATGCTTGCGACACATCATTTCAATCTGTCATGAATCAGTCACTGTCACTCACAGCGCAACGAATCGTTCCAGCTGCTGCTTAGCTTGTCTTATTGGCCATCTAGCTAGGTGGCGCCATAACAGTTCGCTGAGAAATTCAGCAGCATCATAAAACTCTGCCTAAGATTGACGTTAATATTGCATCATATCAAACGTACCTCGTTTGCTAATCTGACCTTTCCTTGTACTCGGTCACCTTTCCACGCAGGCTGTTATTTTTCACTGCCAGAGTGACTCCGGTTGCAGGATGTACACTGTCGCAGGTGCTCTTTTTGAAGACCTCTCAGAATGACATCTCCATCAGAGCGCCAATCTAGAGCAAGCGCCTCTTCCTGTGTTTGGCCATAGTTGGAAACGGCTGTCTGAAAGCCTGCTGAGCTTTCATTTTTGCTTATGACATGGCATTCTCGTTCTAACCATTCTCCTCTGAATACCTGTTCTTACTCCCCATGCTGTGCTCCACAACAGCAAATTACGTTATGAAAATACAACAGAACATCCTGTACTTCCTCTAAATTCTCCCTCTGTGGTTCCAGTATTGAGTCATGCTCTGTCTGTTGCATTCTCTCCTGTTTTAGCTATGGAAGAGCTGGATGGAGATGAAGTGAGGGTGTCCTCCAGGGGCCGTCTTGCCGAGAGAGACATTGTACAGGTACTCACCATAATACTGTTTAACATTAGGGTTAAACTTGAGCTTGTTTCTGTCAACAGCAGCTGTATGCATTTCCAGGAGGAGGACTGCTTAAATTCAAAACACACACTCAAACACACACTGGGGACTGCCTCATACAATATACATCACAATACCCGTCTATGGTGGGCCACTGATCAAGCTCTGTGTCTTGCTCAAGGGCACAATACAATGATTCTGGTTTCACTTGCCCACACAACTCAAAAGTGCCTGTCCAAGGATCCCATTTATCCTACATTTCTCTCCGGCAGCACAAGCCCACGCGTAATGCAGCCTCCGTATTCAGCAACCCTTGTAAATGGACAGCGACTAACAGTAGATTGCCGTGGTGGCTGCGTAGGACTGTGATCCAACTCTTGTGATCCAACTCTTGTGATCCAAACATTACAAATAGCTCTAGAGCGTTGTAAAGTTCAAATGTATTGGGGGGGAAAAAAGATAGATGTGATCATTTCCAGAATTCATGTTTTTATCCAGCAAAACATTCAGTTTCATTCCATATTTCTTGTTGTTCAGCCTTTCAACAACCACATTTCTGCTGGGAAAAACTCGCTTCTCCGATTTGTAAATAAATAAAATGCAGGCGCACCTGGCTTTTAAAGGGAATGGGAGATGACACTGGTTGGTTTAATTTGCGTTACGCCCAAAACATACCCTTTGATTAATCAGGAAAGTAAATACAACCCCTTTGTCTCTTACGCCTACTGTTTAACCAGTGAAAGAGGTGTAAATGCATAATGTGCATTCACTTCATAGATCGTTCAAATAGGGCCCTCAGTGTGATGCTACCCCCACTTTTGCCTCTGAGAGAGAACAATCATTAAACATTAGCTGCGTAACGTATCATTGTCTATCCTGATCTGTTCTGTTCACTTACATTATGATGCGTTCAGGCTCTGTTCACTTACATTATGAGGCGTTCAGGCTCTGTTCAGTGAAAATGAGCTGCTATAATCAAACAACAATATGGATCATCAATGATGGTAATTAGTATCGGCAGCAAAGAAATAACATGATCAGGGATCTCTAGAAGTTCTATTTGCTGATCTGATCTGTGACTGATAGAGTTTCATGATCCGTTGCACCACTAAGAAACATGCAAGAGGATGTAAACTTATGTCATTTTCAGGATTTTAATAACCGACCAACATTCTACAATAACACCGACAATCTCAGAACATAAAGACCAGGGAACAAAAAATGAAAAACTGGCTCTTATCTTTGTGGCACTATGGCCTTGTGGGTAACTGGTTTTGGTAATGTTGCAAGTAGCCTCTGAGGGCTCATAGACGATGTCCCAAACCGGATTTAAAGCCAGTCGAAAAGAATCATTTACAGGATAGTTTAAAGCATTTATTGAGTTTCTATGTACTACAAAATATAATACTAGGCTTTCAAAATTGTATCTTTACCAGAAACGTTTTGTATCTAATAGAAGTATACTGTAGAACTCGTCTGCTGTGACTCTTTGAACAGTCCATCGTCACTTCAAAGTCAACCCCAGGACATTTACAGCTGTGGTCATGTATCTACTTTACACTGAACAGGTGAACCTACTCAAATCACAAGCCGATAGCCTAGTATACTGTATTATATTGAACATTTGACTTAGTATCTAAAACTGTCAAGACATTTCCTTACTGAGTTTGCCCAAAAAGCCACGTCCGGTGTTATTTTCAAAGTCGGCAAGAGAGAGCAGCTCTTTTGTGAAATTGTTTTGCAGCGAGTTTTCTAAAGAGCGCAGTAACCCCGTCAGGGACTGATCAAATCCAGAACTGGCAGTGAATAGTAATTTTAGAAAGCCCGATAGAACACAAATAGGAAGTTTAATACAATGGCCTCTGATAACAATGCACCTTTTGAATTTTAGCATAGTACTGGAGAGGACTGGCCAGTCAGCTGGCAGAGCATAGGGTACAATGAAAAACGAGCACTCAATGATTAATGTACACTGTCTAGACATTGAGAGGAGCCATGTGAGTATATACAGTAAGATTGCACAAATGTAGTTCTAACAAAGTGGCAGTAGCTATTATATGGCCTAAAGTACCAGTCATCAATATATTCCTAAATACGGAAAAAGGTTTCACTAAATTGCTTTTGCTACTACAGTATAAGTGAACACAAACAGTTTTGATAAACATCAATGTATTCTTCTCCTCTTGCTATAAATTGAGGTCACAGTGCTCCCATTAGACCTCCACTTGCCATAAACCAGGAGTTCACAAAGGTCTTTTAACTTGAGGGTCACTTTTGCTTGTTAAAACAATTCATGACAAAAAATAAATAAAAAGGAGAAAAAAAATTAACTGGGCCATAAACGTGCAGTGTGCCACTTTAAGCTGCGATGACCAAACATATTTGCCTACCGTCACCCCCATCACTGTCCATTTCAAAAAGCAAGACGAGTTGTGTTGCTGCGCCTGAAGGAACATTAACTAGCATCTTTACCTGGTGATTGGTATATTACCCAAAAAACAACATGCATTTAAATGTAATCTAACGACCTCCGCAGCCCACAGTGTGTTCCATCACTCATACTATTTAGTATGGCAGAAACACATTTAGTGTGTCCCAATACATGGCATGTCTACCAAAAACAGCAGGATGCTCTGCTGCATTCCATCACATTTTGCAGTATGCATGCTTTGTCTGTTCTGACCCACAATCCTTTGCACAATCCTATGAGCAAGAGGGGGAAAGTTCAAGGTGCCATGAAATGACAGAAGTATGTCCCAATCCAATGCACACAACAGTGCATACTTTGGGCAGCTGCAGTACGTACTAAAAGTAAAAAAATAAAAATAAATAAATAAAAATCCACCTGTATAGTACCTGTTGGAAAGCTTAGAATGTACACTTTATTTACCTGCGAGCCGCTTAGGTAGGTGGAGACGTGCGTAGGAGTGCAGAGGTGCATTAATTATAAGTTATTGCAATGACATACATAGATACAGTATGTTATCACTTTTCAAATATGTCCCAATTGCAATTGCAGTATCCATATCTAAATCTACACATAGATCTTTAGCCTCACAGCTGCGTAATGGACAGGGTGCACGAGGGATTGTTTGATATACAGCCTCGTGCATGGATGCAAGGACAGTTACATACTTTCTCCTCCACTATGAATATTGAACTCCCTTGAGAAGTGCATATGCTGAGAGGGAGGTGCACATTTCTGTAGGAGGGCATTTAATCCCCTGACCTGCCTGACACTTTAAGAAGTGCACTTCCCTCTTTAAAACATCTTTGTGGTGTGGCAACCCAGGGGACGTGGAGGCAAGATTCAGGAATAAAACAGGAGACTCAGACAGTAACCATGTAACAAAAAGTGTCCTTTAATAAACAGGTTAGGGTAAAGAGGGATGGGGTCAAACTTAAAAGATTCCTCCCGGTCAGGATCTTTGGCCTTCGGTCTACATCCAGTGTGAGACTATTCCTCCGTCCTGTTAGGGAGAGCAGAGGAGAGGAGAGAGATGAGTCTGCTTGATTACCTCCCGTCTGATGCAGCTCCTCTCAAGTGGTTCTGGAAATCCTGGTAGTCTTCTGCCCAGTCTGTCTGCTGCTGCAGCTGCTTCCCAGCCCTGTGAACATATGCTCACTCTAATTACCTGATGGGCTGCAGGTGTGACCAATGCCACGTGCCTATTGGCTGCAGCACCTACACCGGATAGTAGACTCCCTCTATCACCTCCCCCAACCTGAGCTTGGGGATCCGCCCCCTGTGCAGTGTCTGCTCGGCTTTACCCCCTGGTTTGCCACAGTGGGTATTTTTACCTGCTGTAATGTTAGTCCGTTCCAAAGAGGGGAATGTTAACTTGTTTCTTTACTTCACTAACAAAATGTTAGTTTTGTTTATACCTCATTTGAATATCTTTTATCAAAGTGCATTTGATTACCCTTCCTCCCTGATTGGCCTCAGACAGCAGGTGAAAGGGTATAAAAAAGTGATGGAAGCGTGCAAACTGGTTGGTCTATCACCTATGTGGTGCAGGGTAATGAAGTTTGAATATAACTCTTTACATACAGCAATGTGAGGAATGTAAAAAAAGGTTACAGCACAACGTCCTGTGATTCGTTTGTGCACTGCCGGACATTATAAAGTAGGCGGCACAAATCACCATCAGATAAAAGATGAAAAATGAATGAGAAAATCATTCACTGTGAGTTGGGCCTCACCGAAAATAGACATAACAGAAGTTGTCTGACTTTAACAGACGGATGAAGCCAGGAGATTTATGTATTTTTGATGTCCAAAACAGGCTTGTTTTAACATTGTGAGACCAAAGATATGTCATCGATATAGACCTTATTTACATACAAATGCTATCTAAACATCTAAACTATTGTTCACCCCCGCTTCCAGTTTGTCCCGTTCAGAGACTACATCGACAGATCCGGCAACCAGGTCCTCAGCATGGCCCGGCTGGCTAAGGACGTCCTCGCTGAGATCCCCGACCAGCTGCTGTCTTTCATGAAGACCCGGGGAGTCGAACCGCGACCGGCCCTCTCCTCCTCGCCGCTACCGGAGCTGCACCGACACATCTGACCCCAGACCCCCCCCACTGCCCGTCTCCGCCTCCCCATCACCGACTCGCTCTGCCTCCGCTCACCTCCCATACAGCCATTTGTCAACAGGAGCAGAAGGATCAACCCGGCGACTTGACCTCTTCTTGTCTTGTCTTGCCGGTGAAGCCAAATGGTCATATCACAGCGACACAGCGGGCGCTCATCCGTGACTGATCTTTTCTTCTCTAACTCACACCGTCATATGTACACATATATATATGTACACATATATATATATATATATATATATATGTATATATATAT